TGGGGGGAACGATTAAGCTCGACTCTATCTCTACACGTGGGTTGGGGGGGATTGCGCTCCTTGCGAGCGACACGCAGAAGTCCGCGTAGCGGAGCATACCGAGGCGTGTCCGCCAGCAGTGCAAACACTTGCACCGGCCCTCCCGTCGCCCGCGCCTCCGCCGCCGCCGCGCCGCCGCGCGAGAGGTGTCCTTCGGCGCCAGAGGGCGCCGCGCCGCCGACATCGACGAGGAGGCAGAGGCAGCGCCAGAGCAGCGCCTCCGCGCCGTCCAAGTCCGCGCCACCCCCAGCGATCGCAAGGGCGCCGTGCGTCGCTGCGGCGGCGGCGGCGTCGGCCCAGTCAACCATGATGCACCGGCAGGGGAGCTGGAGGGAGGCCACAAAGGCCGCGCCACCCTCGCCGTCGGCGACGACCGGGAGGACGCCAAGACAGAGCTCCGCCACCTCGGCCGCATCCCACACCACCTCGTAGCGGCAAACCCCGTCCGCCCGAGCGCCGCCGCCGCCGCCGCCCGCCGGCGCAGCCACCCCCTCCGCCGCCGCCGAAGCGGCGGCGGCGGTAGGTGTGGCCGCGGGGCGGCCAGGCTCGGCGACCGGGAGGGTGGCGAGGCTGGGCGGCGGCAGAGGCGTCTTCGGCGCGAGCGGCGTTCGGCGTGGCGGCGGAATCCTGTTAGTGACTCGGGAGTCATGTTAGAAGTGGTGAAGCAGACGTCGGCGCGCGGCGTGGCGGCGGCAGCCTAGCATCGGCGGCGGAGGAGGGGGGGGAGGCGGAGGAGGCGGCCGAGAGGATGACGTGGGCGTTGGTGCCTCCGATCCCGAAAGAGGAGACGCCGACGACGCGCGGAATGCAGCTCCTCCACCCCCCTGCTAGAGAGTCACCTCTGCCGCCGCCGCCGCCGCCGCCGCCTACGCCTCCGCCGCTTCCGCTGCCTCCGCCGCCGCCGCCTCCGCCTCCTCCGGCCGCCGCCGCCACCTCGATCGGGATCTCGTCCCACGGGATGAGCGAGTTGAGGGGGTCCGCGTGGGCCGTCGGCGAGACGGCGCCGTGCCACACGCAAAGGCACGCCTGCTCGTGATTGTGACACGTAGTGCTCGTGATTGTGACACGTAGTGCTCGTGACTCGTGATTGTGACACGTAGTGCTCGTGATTGTGACACGCCTGCTCGTGATTGTGACACGCGTGACACGTGATTGCTAATGGCTCGTGATTGTGACACGCCTGCTCGTGATTGTGACACGGTTGCTCTAGTAGTGCACAGTTGCTTCTGGCGCAGAGGCACGGCTGACGAGGGTCGCGGCGGCTACACATGCATGGCGCATCAGCTACAACGCAGCGGTGAAGCAATGAATGAGTCATTAGCGAATCGCTACTCCATTGACACCTTGACGAGGGACGCCACGCCGGCGACCGTGTTTGTGTGGCCGATGTGGCCCTTGATCGAGCCGACGACCAGCTTTGCGCCGCCGGCGGCGCTGCGCCCCGCGTGCAGCGCCGCGAGCGCGCCAACCTCGATAGGGTCGCCCACCCGCGTGCCGGTGCCGTGCGCCTCGACATAGTCGACGTCGGCCGCCTCGCGACCCGCGTCGGCGAGGGCCATCGCGATGACCTCCCTCTGCCCCGCCTCGGAGGGCTGGCTGAAGGTCGACTTGCGGCCGCCGTCGTTGTTGAGGCCGACCCCCTCCAGAGTCGCGTACGCTCGGCGTACCGACGCCGCCGTGAGCACCACCAGCGCCGCGCCGTCGGCAGGGACGGTCCCCGCTGCAGCGTCGCAGAAGGGTCGGCAGACGCCGTCGGCCGCCCAGATCATACCCGCCACAGAGCGGACGGGGTCGTCGGGCGAGCAGGAGGCGCCTAATTGATGGCGGGGGACGGTCTCATCATGATGTGATTGGCCTTGAATGAGGGTCGTCGGGCGAGCGGGAGGCGCCGCCGCACAGCGCGACCTCGCAGAGGCCAAGGCGGATGGCGTGGGCGGCGCGCGCGACCGCGACGAGGGAGGAGGAGCAGGAGGTGGCGACCGTCTCCGCGGGGCCTCGCAGGTCGAGGTGGTAGGCCAGGGCAGACGCAAGGAAGTCCTTATCGTGCCCAACCTCTGCGCTAAAGTAGGCGTCCGGCCGTTCGCGCCTAAACAACAAGGATGAGTAAAGTACACCTCCATGAATCATTACTTAAAGTAGTGGTCCGGCCGATTGCACCGCATGGCGTCGAGACCGTCCAAGTGCGGTAGCGAGCCGCCACACACAAAGACGCCGACGCGGCCGGGCGGCGCCAGCGCCTGCGCCGCCTCGTCCCACCAGCCGGCGTCCTCGAGCGCCTCGTGTGCAAGCTCGAGCAGCTGTGAATGAGCTGTGAATAGAGAGCTGTGAATAGAGAGCTGTGAATGTCGCCTCATGCGCAAGCTCGAGCAGCTGTGAATGAGCTGTGAATAGAGAACTGTGAATAGAGAGCTGTGAATGGCGCCTCGTGCGCGAGCTCGAGCAGCTGTGAATGAGCTGTGAATAGAGAACTGTGTATAGAGAGCTGTGAATGGCGCCTCGTGCGCAAGCTCGAGCAGCTGTGCATGAGCTGTGAATAGAGAGCTGTGAATAGAGAGCTGTGAATGGCGCCTCGTGCGCGAGCTCGAGCAGCAGCCGCAGCTCTCGGCTGAAGCCCGTCGCTCGCTCGACAGTCAGGCCCCACCTCGCCAGCTCAAGGCCTATCAACAAACGAATGATTCGTTGTCAAGTACTTAATCAGAGCCCCCCCCGCACGAGCTCGAGGCCTTCGTCCGCCACGACGCCCTTGCGACGCACGTACGCAGCGCCTCCCGCCCCCTCCGCCGCCTTGCCGCCGTGCCGCCGTGCGGCGGCGGCGGGCGAGGCGGGTGCGGGTGCGGGGAGGGGAAGCGTCGACAGGCCATCCGAGTCTGCAGACTGCAGCATCTCCCACAGCCCCTCCAGCGAGGACGCGCCCGGCAGACGCACCGCCATGCCGGCGACGGAGACAGAGTGGCGCCCATCGTCCCGCAATCCAGCTCCTCGCGCCGGCGCACCAGCCGCATGCGATGACCCGTAACGAGGCGACCGCCGAACGCCGCCGCCGCCGCCGCCGCCGCCGCCGCCTCCTCCTCCTCCGTCGCTGTCCTCGCGCATGAAGGCGGCGAGGCGGGCGGCGGTAGGGTGCGCGAAGAGCGACGCGACGCGCACGCCGAGAGAGGCGCAGAGCCGCAGCGCGAGCACCGAGGTGCCGCCGGCTTCGAAGAAGTCGTCTGCTGCTGTGATGCGTCGGCCGAGCTGCTCCGACATCGCCGCCAGCACGCGCGACTCCAATGAGGCGAGGGTGGAGGTGAGGGCGGAGGCGGAGGCGGAGGCGGAGGCGGAGGAGGCGGTGGCGGTGGCGGAGGCGGAGGCGGAGGCGCCATCACCGGAAAGAGCGAGGGCTGGCGGCGCGTCGCCAGCAGCGCCGGAGGGTGGTGGCGGGCTCGCTGGCTTGAGAGGGGGCGAGCCGACATGCTCAGAGCCGTAGAGCACCGCGGGGAGGCGCTGCAGCAGCGCGCGTCGGTCGCGCTTGCCGGTGTGCGAGTACGGGATGGCGCCCACCGGCAAGACGGCGGGCTGTGCACCGCCACGCGGGAAGCTGTCTCGCACGAAAGACGCCACGGCGGGTGGGTCGTCCGTCACGACGCACGCCCAGACCTTGTCTCGGAAGACGAGGGCGACGCAGTCTCTCACCGCAGCGCACCCCGCTAGCGCCGCCTCGACCCCGCCGAGGTCGACGCGGTGGCCGAGCACCTTGACAACGCTGTCCAGTCGACCCTCGATAGAGAGCCAGCCGCCGCACCGCCTCCCGCGGTCCCCCGAAGCAAAGGCGTTGACCTCGCCGCCGCCGCCGCCGCCCGCGGCGCCCTCGCCGCCATCGGCGCCCTCGCCGCCTGGCGTGAACGCGGAGGCATCCTCGCCCGTGAGGTACCCGCGCTCCATGTTCCAGCCGCGGTGGAGGATGCGGCCGCTCCCTTCGTCGAGCAACACCTCGTTTCCCCACACCACCTCGCCCGCACCGCCGCCGCACACAGGCACGTTGGTCATCCCGGCGGCGGCCGCCGCCTCGCAGACCGCCGCGTCCACCTCGCGAAGCATGCAGATGTCGGCGGCGGTCTCGGTCGTCGACAGGACGTTCGACATGGTGACTGAGGGGAAGGCGCGGAGGAAGGCGAGGGCCGTGGCCACGGGCAGCGCCTCGCCAGACACCATCACATGCCGAAGGCACGCAGGCAGAGGCGACCGGCCGCCACCGCATCCGCCCCCGGCGTTGCCGTCGCCCCCGGCCCCACCGCCGCCGCACTGCTCCGTTAGCATCTGCAGCTGGCCAGGCGTGAGACAGTCCACCCAATCCGCGCGGGCGTCAGCGAGGAACTGCGCTAGCCCGCGCACGTCGACAGTCAGCTGCGGAGGGACGAGGAGGAGGGCCCCGCCTTGGCAGAGCGGGAGGTGCCAGTACCACGCCAGGAAGAGCCCCATCGCCACGCGCCTAGCCGGCAATGAATCATGCCCCTCGTTTGATCCATGTTTAGGCGAGGAAGAGGCCCCGGAGGAGAGAGAGAGAGAGAGAGAGAGAGAGAGAGAGAGAGAGAGAGAGAGAGAGAGAGAGAGAGAGAGAGAGAGAGAGAGAGAGAGAGAGAAAACGAGGCCCCGTCGCCACGCACCGTCCCATCGTGGCGAGAGGGAGGTGGTACGCGCGCCACCGAACCCAATGCGCAATCCGCCACCGCGTCACCGCCATCGCCTTGGGCCGCCCCGTCGAGCCTGTTCACGGCGCGGGCGGGTGAGCAGCCACGGCCGCCCACGCCGCCTAGCCCGCACCAGCCGCGTCGGTCGCCAGAGGTCCAGTCGATAAACGCGGTCCCTCCGAGCTCGCTCGCCGCCGCCGGCAGCCTACGTGATGAACACGCCAACCTCAGGGCGGGAAGACGGTGGTGTGCAGCGTCTTCAGAGCACCGCGTGAATACAACGGAGAGGAGTCCAGTGAATACAGCGGAACAAAGGTGAATACAGCTGAATACGGGTGGCCCTCTCGGGCGCCAGTTGGGAGACAAGAATACGAATTCTGCTTCTGGGGCCGGAAGCCTCGCCGTGATCTCACAAGGGGAGAGGAAGGGCGGCAGCGGCAGAGCAGACAGGTCGATCACGAACGGCGCGGCTGCCTCCGCTCCAGCCGAGAGGCTCTCTGGCGGCGGCGGCGGCGGCTGCTGCTCGTCGGTGTCGATGGAGTCAGCGGAGCCGACGAGGATGGCGCGGCACTTCACACGAGAGAGCTGGTAGCGGCGCAGCGGCGCAAAGGGAGAGAGGACGCAGGGAGCGAGGCCGCGCATGCCCAGCCCGAGGTGCGACACCACCAGCAGCAGCGAGGGCGGGAGCAGCACCCCCACTCTTCCGCCCGAAGACAGGTCGACGCCGCGGCTCGACAGCGCGTCGCCGAGCGCCCAGGCGGCGCCGCAGAGGTGTGCGTACGAGACGTCGGCGCCGCCGTCGTGGAGAGCGGCGGCGTCCGGGCAGCGGCGCGCGTGCTGCAGCACCATCTCGGGCACGGTGCTCAGGTGCAGCGAGCAGACTGTCGCCACCGCCTCCTCCCACTCTCTAGCGGCGACCGACGGCGCCGCAAAGTTCCGCACGGACGCGTGCGGGCCCGCAGGAAGCTGTGCGGCGGCCGAGTCGGTCACCACGTAGAGAGGCCTCGGATGCGAGGCCAACAGCGCACGCACAGCCTCGTGCGGGCCGCAGAGCACGTACCGCTCTTCGCCCGTAAGCACGGCCGCTTCGACGGCCCGGACGGGCCACCCGCTCGCCTCGCGTGGGAGAGGCGCCGCAGCGACAAGGACGACCGTGTCGAGAGGCTCGCGGAAGCCGTCGCGGAGCGGGTCGACGTTCAGCCGCATCGCGCTCGGCGACGACACCAGCAGCGACGCCAGCGGCGTGAGGAGCAGAACGTGCCCAAAGTGAAAAGAATTTGACCTCACGTAACTAACACCTGTTGTATGTAGAAAGATGGCGATAACACAGGTACACCCAAAAGAGTCATGGGAAGCAGCGAGAGAAGAAAAACACGGTGGCGCCACACGCCTGCCTGGGCATCTGCCAGCCGCCTGTGGCGGCTCTCTGGCAGGCATGGCTCCAGGCGCTCCGGCCGCCGCAGTCGTCGCCGATGCTGAGCCGGACGACGTGGCGATGCTCGACGGCAACACGATCGAGGTTGCGTGGCCGCAGACGCGCGACGGCGTCATCAAGATGCGCAAGCGTGTGGGCACGGTGCGCTATCGGCCAAAGCAGCAGCGAAATCGGTTCGAGAATGTCTATCTGATCGAGTTTGAGAGGCGGCCCGGCACGCCCCGCACGGCCAAAGGGCCGCGGCTCCGAAAGACGAGATGGGAGAAGCTTCGCGGGCGCACGTATGTCGTGCTGCGCTCAGCCGTGCTCCCGAAGCCTGCTCGCACGCGGTATTCGCCTGAGGAGATCGAGGCTGTGCGAGTGAGACTCGAGGCGGGAGAGATGCAGGCGAGCATCGGGCTGGGCATTGGGCGCACGAAAAATGCAATCAACGGGCTAGCGAAGCGTTTCGTGCCAGGCTATGCGCCGCTGTCGACTGGAGACGGGCCGCGGGTGAAGAGCGGTGTCACTATCGAGCTGGTCGAGAGCGCGATGCTCACGCTGCCCGAGTACGAAGGCACGGCGCTTGAGATATTTGAGGCGGTCAAGCGGCAGGCGGCGACGGGGGGTGTCGCGCTGAACCTCGAGACTGCGCCTGGTGAGCGTGCGAAGTCGCGTGCGGAGGCTAGTATGGGAGCGCTTCTCACCAATCGAAAACGCTGCCGGGGGGTGTCGCGCGCAGAGGCCAGCGTTTCGAAGCTTCTCACCGATCGAAGACACTTCCCTCAGTTCTCCGCCACCGGGGAGAAGCGCCTGTCGGACGTGCAGACAGACAGAGGCCGTGGACGCGCAGATGAGCGTGCTCGAGATTGGAGACGAGTGCGAGCGCCTGTCTACAAATACTCGCCGCCGGACGTCACCGCCGAGCGAGAGCCGGGCCTTCCGAGCACGAAGCGCGTCAGGGCTCACACGCCCAACGTCGGCGGCCCCAAGAAGTCGGCGCGCAAGACGAAGGAGCTTCTGGCTGGCGGCGACCGACGGCATGGGTGATGGGGTGGTGACCTGAGCCATTGCCAGCGCCGCGTTGGCGACGGTGCGTACGTTGTACGTTGACTGTGTACTGTGCACTACTAGTACAGTACTATAGTGTATAGTGTGTACTAGTACCTCCCGCGCGTTAGTATTACTACGGCTCCGGGGGTCCCTCTTAACAGGCGTACGGAACGGCTCTACGGCTTTTATATACACACTCGTATAGCTCGTGAGGAGCTCTATGACCTCTCCGTCGGTCTGTGATTGTGTGTGTGATTTGTGCGGTCAATAAAGTACAATCGTAGATCTTCGCATGTATATCATATCGGTGAATGCGCACCACCAGGCACCAGCACCGATCGCGTGGCCTTGTTCAACACGACAGATTGCAGCTTGCACGTGCTTGCTGACGCGGACTGCGCGAAGAGACGGGCCATATATGGCACATCCCGTCGTTCTCGTTGACATCGTCGTGCACGCTCGCAGCACTATTCGGCGCCTCCTCGAGACGGCCCTCTATTGTTGGACCTGGTTTGTACTCGCTCTCCGTATGTGGACCCGGGGCTAGCAGCATCCTCTGAAGCGAGGCGGCGGCGCAACATTACGCCCCGCTGAGCTCCTATGTGCCCTTCTTGGCGGCCGCCGCCGCCGCCGCCGCCGCTTTTGCCTCCCGCACATCCCTGGCGCGGTCTAGGGGGCGGGCTAGGGCGCGGGGCACAGGAAGTCCTGCTTGCCTTACCGTTTTCTCGCGTGTTTGCGGCGGGCACCTAGGCAACCGCTCACGGCATGCCGGGGCAGCCGGTGCCTGGTTCTCACCTCGGCTGCGCCGCGAGCCGGCCCGCCTCGGAGCAGATTGCATGGGTACACTTTCCCAAAGGGGGGACATCTCTCGGCACCACATTGGCGCACTATGCGAGCAACTCGACGCTCCGACCAGACGCGACCATGCCCTCCTGCACCCGGGATGGCTGGATGTTGCGCGACGAGCTCGGGCGGCAAATGCCGGCTGGCCATCGCTGCGCCGGCGCTGCGTCCGAGCTTCAGTTCCTCAGCCGGTTCCCGATGGCCCACTGGTTTCACTGCCGGTTCTGGGGCAAGGACGAGCAGCCCAAGGGCGCCGGGGGCGCCTTTAACTTTGGCGCGCATTCGGAGATAACGCCAGCGGCGCTATTACCCACCTTCCACAGCGGCACACGACTGCATCTCGGCTGCATCTTCTGGTTCCTTGCGGTAGGCGTGGGACGCCTATCGCGGCCGCTTCTTCACCACCTTTCGCGAGCCCGTGCAGCGCGTGACCTCCGCCTACCTTTGGTTTGGACCCGCGTGGCCACGCTCCACGCGGATGAACGCGACTGCCTACGCCATGCACGTGCGCGGTACCGCCACCAAGATGCTGGCGGGGCAGATGAGCGGCGCGCGCTGCAACTCGCGCTGGGGCGCGAGAGCCGCTCTCCGAGATCTGCCGAGATTCGCCGAAATCCTCCGAGATTCGCCGAGATTCGCCGAAATCTGCCGAGACGGAGATTCGCACTCGTTCTTCGCTACGTTTAGGCGCGTGCGACACGTCGGTCGAGCCGGACCTCTCCCTCGCCACTCGCAGGCTGAAGGAGGGGTTTGCGTTTGTTGGCCTTACCGAGGAGAGGGCTCTCTTCGCCTGCCGTGTTTCGTCGTTCACTCCGCACAAACTCCCATTGGCGATCGAGTAGGAGTGGGCCCTCTCTGTCTGCCTCTTCCACGCCGCCTTTCCCTCCCCCTGCCGCGCCATCTCGGAGTTTGGCAATGCGCGCCAAGGCAGCGGCAGCGCAGCGGAGCGGCGCGCCGTCGCCTCTGACGTCGCCGCAGTACGGGACCCGTACGACGAGGCGCGCGAGATGGCGAAGAGATACTGGTGGGGATGTGGCGACTATAGTCTTAGACAGACCCGCGATGAGGCGCGCGAGGTGACGGCGAGACGCAGCTCTGCGAGCGAAAGGCATTTCGGCATTAGGACCACTTTTCCTCTTCCAGCGGATGAATAGGCGCTCTACGCGGTTGCAACCGACCTCTTCTGGGCTGCTGTTGAGCAGCACAGCCTCACGCGCGCTGCGTGCGAGCGCATCTGTCCCGGCGGCGACTTTGATCGGACGTCGTTCACGCGCGAGGCGAGCGCGGAGCAGGGGTGGGGCATGGAGCGGGGCGGAGACCGAGGTGTCGGCTCGGGCGAGAGCGTCAACGCGAGCCGCCACGTCCGGCGGCACGGCGACGGTCCGCACAACACGAGCCCCATCTCGCTGCTGCACGCTGGTGCGAGGGCGCGGGGTGCGGCGGATGGGAGTGGCGTGGTCGCGTTCAGGCGGACGGGCGCAGCGCGGCGGCCGTCGCGGAGTCGGCAGCGCCTTCATGAAGGTGGGCATTTGTACTCAACTGATCGTGATTGAAAACTGCAGTTTCCGTGTGTGAGAGTGTGTCGTAGTAGAGGTACCCGCCATATATTTTCTTTGGAAATTCTTTTTTTTTGCCTGCCGCGTTTTTTGAGAGCGCCGCCTGCGGTGTTAAGAAAGACACGCTCGCTCGCACACACACGCCGCACTGCACCTCTCGCACGGATTTTGCGAAAATAATTCTGCGCGAGTTCTGCCCGGCTGGCTCGTGAGCCGGTGCCGCTCGCGCCGCGGGCATGAAGTTCGGCAAGGACCTGCAGCAGTACCGCGCGCCCGGGTGGGAGGACGACTACATCGACTACAAGGAGCTCAAGCTCATCCTCAAGCGCCTCGAGGACGACGACGCCACCAAGGACGAGGTCGACGCCGAGTTCTTCCAGGCGCTCGAAGACAACCTCGAGAAGGTGAACCGCGCCTTCCTCGAGAAGTGCCAGCACCTCGAGGCGGTCCTCGACCAGACGCCCGTCGGCCGGGAGCGCTGGTCCGCCAAGGAGCCCTCCTCGCGCGCGTCTGGCGGCTCTTGCGGGCCAGGCACGCCGCGCCACCCAGGCACGCCGGCATCGCTGGCGTCGCTGTCGCTCGGGCCGCCCTCGTCGGGCGCCGCGGACAGGTCTGGCGGCGGCGTGCCTTCGCCAAAGCCGGCTCGGCTCAAGGCGACGCCGCTCGGCGACGGCCGCGAGGGCGACGCGGCGGCGGCGGCGGCGGAGATTGAGGCGAAGCTAGCGGAGCGCGAGTTCTACGAGGCGTATCGGATGCTCGGGCGGCTGCAGACGTACGTCTGGATCAACACGAAGGGGTTCCAGAAGATCATGAAGAAGTACGACAAGCGGATGGAACTGCTGCTGTGAACAGCGTCTCTTCACACCTCCAGCTGTGAACAGGTATGACAAGCGGATGGAGCTGCGCGGCACAGCGCAGGAGCTCGGCCCAGAGTTTGAGGCGCGGCTCGAAAAGGAGGCCTTCTGCTCCGGCAAGATGAGCATCCTAGCAGAGATGTTCAAGTCGCGCCGGCCCGGCGGAGTGTCGTCGAGCGGGATCGCAGCCGCAGGCAGCCGGCCGCAGCTACAGCTCATCACGGGCAACGCAAACAGCGAGCTCTCCAGCGAGATTGCGGCGAGACTTGGGGTGCCTCTCACGCCGGCCAAGATCGCGCGCTTCCCGGACGGCGAGGTGTCGATTCAGATTCTGGAGAACGTGCGCAACTCGGACGTGTACATCATACAGCCAACCTGCCCTCCGGTGAACGACAACCTGATGGAGCTGCTGCTGTGAACGGCGCCTCTTCACACCCGCGCACCCGTGAACAGGTGAACGACAACCTGATGGAGCTGCTTCTGTGAACGGCGCCTCTTCACACCTCCAGCCGTGAACAGGTGAACGACAACCTGATGGAGCTGCTGCTGTGAACGGCGCCTCTTCACACCTCCAGCCGTGAACAGGTGAACGACAACCTGATGGAGCTGCTGCTGTGAACGGCGCCTCTTCACACCCGCGCACCCGTGAACAGGTGAACGACAACCTGATGGAGCTGCTGCTGTGAACGGCGCCTCTTCACACCTCCAGCCGTGAACAGGTGAACGACAACCTGATGGAGCTGCTGCTGTGCGCGTCGGCGGTGCGGCGCGCCGCCGCGGCGCGCGTGACGGCCGTGGTGCCGTACTACGGCTACGCAAGGCAAGACCGCAAGGAGCGGCCGCGCGTGCCCCTCTAATTACTACTTAACACCCGTCAGTAATGATTGGTTGTGGTATTAACTTTTTAATTAGGAGCGGTCGCGAGTGCCCATCTCCGCGGCGGACGTTGCGAAGATGATGGAGGCGACGACGAAGGGGGGGGGGGGGACCTCCGGACGGCGTATTTCTTTTTTGTGCCCACCGCAGTTCTGCTGCTTCTCTCTCAGGCGATGGGGGTGGACCGGGTGTGCTGCGTCGACCTGCACTGCGGCCAGATCCAAGGGTTCTTCGGCCCGCGCACGCCGGTGGAGAGCCCCATCTCTCCCCATCTCTCCCCATCTCTCCCCATCTCTCCCCATCTCTCCCCATCTCTGCCCACATCTCCCCATCTCTCCCCACCTCTCCCCATCTCTCCCCATATCTCCCCATATCTCCCCATCTCTCCCACATCTCTCTCCACATCTCTCCCACATCTCTCCCCTTAGGTAGACAACCTCTGGGCCCAGTATTAGTCCTCATCATTGCCAGCAGTGAATACTTGGTAATGGACACCACAGGTGGACAACCTCTGGGCCACGCCGATCGCGGTGTCCTACTTCAAGACGCGCGAGCTCAACAACGTGGCCGTGGTCTCGCCGGACGCAGGCAGTTAACTAGCAGTTAATCAGTAGTTAACTGCTAGTTAACTAGCAGTTAACTAGCAGTTAACTAGCAGTTAACTAGCAGCTAACTAGCAGCTAACTAGCAGTTAACTAGCAGTTAACTAGCAGTTAACTAGCAGTTAACTAGCAGTTAACTAGCAGCTAACTAGCAGCTAACTAGCAGTTAACTAGTCGCCGTGGTCTCGCCGGACGCGGGCGGCGGCGTCGCGAGAGCAGATGTTTATGAACTAGCAATGATAAATGGTTAATGATTATTGATCTCAGGCGGCCTCGCGGGAGCAAAGACGCTTATGAAAGAGCAATGGTAGATGATTCATTGTCGTTAAACCACAGGCGGCGTCGCGAGAGCAAAGATGTTTCGCGAGGGCCTCGAGGCGCAGGGGATGCGAGCCTCGCTAGCGATGATCATCACGCAGCGAAGGTCGACGGGCGAACTCGGCTCGGAGATCGCGCAGGCGGCGGCCCTCTGATTCATTTATTGGTTAAGAATGATTCATAATTAAGGGCGAGCTGGGCTCGGAGATTGCACAGGCGGACCTCGTCGGCACCGTCACCGGCTGCGACTGCATCATCGTCGACGACATGATCGACACGGCGAGTAACTAGCAGTTTATTCGCAGTTAATTAGTCGACGACATGATCGACACGGCGGGATAGCCGAGAGATGGCCGAGAAATAGCCGAGAGGTGGCCGAGAAGTGGCTGAGAATGGCCGAGAGACGGCCGAGAGGTGGCCGAGAGATGATGGCCGAGTCATAGATGCGGCCGAGAGATGGCCGAGATGGACGCGGTCGCTGCTCCCCGTCAGGCGGCCCGTGGACGGCGCCTCTTCACAGCGCGAGCTGTGAACAGGCGGGCACTCTCTTCATGGCGACGAACGCGCTCAAGTCGTTCGGCGCGTCGCGCGTCTTCGCCTTCGCCACCCACGGCATCCTCTTCCGCCCGGGGGACGCGAACTCATGCGTTTGTTGTTCTTGACCAAGAGGAATGAATAGGCCTCTTCAACCCCCCGCCGAGAGATCGCCGAGCTACCGCCGAGAGATCGCCGAGAGATCGCCGATACATCGCCGAGGTGTGCAATGAGTAGGCCTCTTCAACCCGCCCGCCGCCGACCGCATCGAGGAGTGCGCCATCGAGGAGGTGCTGCTGTGAGGGCGCCTCTTCACACACCTACAGTTGTGAACAGGAGTGCGCCATCGAGGAGGTGATCGTCGCGAACACCATCCCGCTGCCGCCGTCGGTGAACCGCGAGGCGAGGAAGGTGCGCCAGATCAGCGTGGGCAAGCTCCTCGCGCAGGCCGTCAAGTGCCTCCACACACGGGCGACTCTATTCTATCGCTCGATGTTGTCACGTCCTGTGATCAGGCCATCAAGTGCATCCACACGGGCGACTCGGTACAGCGGCTCTTCGACATGGACGAGGGAGTCAACCTGCTCGCATGAGAGGGGCGCGTGGACTCGCCGTCTCCCACATATCCATCTGACTTGGGCAATCGCCCACTGGGGAGGGGTCGAATCCCTCAGACCGTACCGTATCTCTGTACACGTTAGAGAGCGAAGTCGTAATCTAATGGTAAGGTAAGGTAAGGTAGATTTCTCCACACACACACAGTGGTGGGGCAAGGGGGGGCGACCCTCGCATCTCCACGCCCGGACACGGGCAGGAGCCCCACGGCATTCAAAGTGCAAGCACTGGCCCGGTGCACGTGGGTGAGCAGCCTGCCGGCCCTCCCTCCCGACAAACCAACTCCCGCACACACACAATCGCACTCTGGCCATCGAATGACTCCGAATGACTCACTGTGTGTGCTAAGACAGAATCTCCGCAGACATCCAAAACGGGCCGTGCCGCGTTTGTGGTGTCTTCTCAAGCACTAGCATCCGGACGCCGCACACTCGAGCGGGCGGGTCACATCTATACATCTATGTGGGCCCAGTGTGCGCACTAGGCGCATATGCTAGTGCTATCCTGCGCCCTATGGGAGGCAGAGGGATGGGGGGAGGGGGGGGCAGAGGTAAGGTGGGGTGAGACTGGGGAGGGCCTCAAAGGTCCTCCATGGGGGTGGGGTCCGGCCCGAACAGGTCGAAGCCGGTCCCGCCCTAGGTCCCGCCATCGCCGCCGGCGCCGTCGCCCTCGTCCGCCTCGGAGGCGGAGGTCGTCGAGCGGGGCGTCTCGCCCGTCGCGAACCTGCCGCCGAACACGGCGTCGAATCTAATCTAATGTGAGTGAATACACAATTTTCACGATTTGGTACGTGGGCTCGCGGCGGACACGGGACACTGACAGCTTTTACAGGAAATGCCAATCGGCAGAGTTTCTACAAGTCAAGTGTGTAAAGTGTCAACACTCGCTCACCTCAGTGAGACAGTGATCAGCACTTGCCACTTGGTTCATTTTTTTAGCACGTGGCAAAAACGCACGCAACCCTCAGCTTCTCGGCCTCGCTTCTCGTAACCGCCTCGCCAGCTCCCCCACCGCTGCTGGCGGCCTCACGTCCGACGAACGCTCTCGCAGCGTCGCCAAACCCACCTGCGAGGGGTGCAGCACTCGCATGTGCGGTCAGCAAGTCCGCACGGGCGAGGCGTCAGCTGGGCATTGGGACTTCCGCACCGCCTTGTCGACGAGCGCGTCGTCGGCGCCACCGCCGCACTCGCCCCGCAGTGTCGCGCGCAGGATGCTGCGATAGTACTCCTGCTACGGAGAAGGAGTGTTTGCAAAGAGCGAGCTTCCGCCTGCGCCGTGAAGGAGCGCGCGTGCCTCTAGGCAAACAGGCTCTCCTGAGGCCGAATCCGCAGGTCCGGTCGCTTGACCGGGCTGTGGCCCGCCGCCCAGCGCGGGGCCGAGGGCGAGGAAAGTCTCCCTCTGCACCGCTGCCCACGCCGCTGCCGACTCTTGCCCGCCCTGTGAGAGAGGAATGAAACGTCCGGGCTGCGTGTGTGGCAGTCCGTGTGGTGTGGCAGTCCGCTCGAAAGTGTCTCGCATGGGGCGTCGCACCGCTTCTCCGCTCTGGCGGGCGTGATGCCGCAGCTCGATCTGGCCCACCACGAGGGCGCGCAAGGCAGACGGCACTGTGCTCCTTGAGGGGTCGCATGCCGGCTCCACCACACCCTGGAAGGTACGGCGAGGTGGTCGCGCGAGGGCTTCCCCCCATCTCCACATCCCGAGGCGCTGGCATCTCGGCTCTGTTTGTTTTATGACTATGTGCTCGCCTCTCTCGGCTGTTGTGGGTGTGCCTCTTGGCGGTCTGCCGCCAGCCAGGCCGGCCCATCCGCGCAGATCTCGGCGAGCGCTTCCGCGTGGGCGAGGGTCTCCTCGAGCACAAGTGCCGCAACCACCTGGAGGGCGGGCAAGTGACGAGGGCGCAGGAGGGGCTACTGAGGGGGCGGTAGGAACGTCGCCGTGCAGGAAAAGTCGGAGTATGAGATCGGATCCGCCTCGCGCCTGTGGCGAGAGTGCAAAGAGCGCTTCATGTAATCGCCCGGATGTGGTCGAGCGGATCGCGTTCGCGTGATGGATGGGTCGCCTTTGCCGTGGGCTGTGGAGAGCGTGTTGTGGGAGGAGCAAACTCGCGGCTATGGGCAGACTTGTCGAGTAGGGTCAGCAGCGCCTTGCCGAGGTGGAGCGGGCAACTGCTCGTTAGCTGTTTGAGCACCCGCGCCAGCTCCCCCGCGCAAAGTGGCTCCCCAGCGAAACGCTGCCCCTGCTCGGGACACGGCGCAAGTGATCTCAGATTCGTCGACGACTTGGATGAGCGTTTTTAGTGGGTCGTGGTTTATGACGGCCGCCTGCTGGCCGCCGAGCGCTGCAAATGCTGCGACGAGGTTGTCTTTAAACGCAGTGTGGCTGCGGGGCGCGAGGCGGATGAGGCGGAGCGCCCGCGTGAGCGCGGTCGACTCGCTGAGCGCCGCATGGAAGTACTGCACCAGAAACCCAATCGGTTCTGCACGGAAGAGTGGAGGGAGGGGTGGCGGAGAGGAGGGGGGAGTCGCTGCTGAAACCATGGACGCGAGCCTCGCACCTGCTGGTCGGTTCTCGAGCAGCAGCGCGAGCGCGTCGCGCATGTACGGCGCAACGCCGCACCGATCAAGGTACTCCTCGCCGTCGAAGGACGAGGTGCGCTGCGGCTCGCCGCCCCAGGTTGTGATGCGCATGTATTTAATGTGCGCCACACGCACGACCGGCACGGCACGGTCGGTTAGGTAGGTAACGACAACGAGAACAGGTCGCGACAAGGTCGCGATACCTCGCAATGGAATTTTACAACAAAGCTCCCTCGGGACTGGCGCGCACTGGCATTAACACAGGTATGGAAAATAACGTACGGGCCCTCAGCGGAGCTGGGAAGAGGACCGCCGCAAGCGGCGTGGCGTGGAGCGGTTGAGCATCCCTCCGGGGGCCCCTCTGCGCCGGGGAGGCGTTGTTGGAGGCTAGGACGCAAGCGTCCGTCGCCCTTTTCAAACTCGGGGCCCACTCCGCTACGCTCCGACCCGAATTTGGAGGGCCTAAAAGTTTAAGGTGTTGCTGCGCAAAAGGGGTCGGACGCAGGGCGCAGCTCATGCTAAGAGCTAGAAGGGGAGCTAGAGAGAGCGACTAACTACCCTGTCCCGTTATTGCGTACACCAACACCACAAAAGCTCTCTCTCTCCTGTCCTCACTCAGGGGGGCGGTCACTCAACTACCAGAGTCCCTCGACTAGCTGCCACGTTGCCGACCGAGAGCGGATCTCCTCCTGAGCTCCGCAAGGAGGGTGGCCAAGGCTAAGTCTTGCCGGAGCCGCCGCCCCTTGTACTTGTACTTGTAGAGATGCTCGAGGGGGTGCTTTGTGGGGGTGCGGCGCAGCCAGGCCAGCAGTGAGGGGAGGCGCACCCTCACTCTCCTCGGTTGCAGAGCTCGTCGGAGGCTGCGGCACGACGGGAGGGTCGCGACAGCAGTCCTCGGGCGAGCCGACGCGCATGTCCAACCAGCGCTTGGACTCGCTGTGACGGCAGACGCCGGCTGCCTCTCCAACCGCTTCTGCAGCGTCCTTCTTTGCCCGGTGCATGGGCTCCCGTCGATCCGATTCCGCAGCGTGTCGTCCCCAGCGGCGGTGCTGCGCGGGAGGCGGCCGCGGGCACGCTGGGCTCGATCAGCGGCTTCCCTCAGTTCTGAGGGGTGGCCCGTCTACCGTCTACCGGTAGACTGGGGTAGACTGGGGTAGACGGTAGACCATTTGGTAGACGAGTCTACCGCAGTCTACCGGTAGACCGTAATGAACCTACGACCCCAGTCTACAAAAAAATCTTTTTTAGCGTCGTTACCCACCGCTCTTTATACTCGTTTATTCACGAGGCGACCCCAGGGAACCGTGGGCTCTCACTGATTGATTGATTGATGGGAAGGCGAAACACAGTCCGACCAACGACTGGGACACCAACGCTAGGTTCCCTACTGTCCAAGGCGAACGTCTGCCCAGGTTGTGGAGGACACGATCCCGGCGTGAACACGACTAACTGACGGATCCGCTCCTGACAGTCGCACGCGCCGCGCTGCGGCGCGTGCGACTGTCTTTGTTTGAAGTAAAAAGTCGAATCAGAGCGGCGTCGGCGTTGTCCTCCATTTTCCTCCCCCGGACCGCCCGTCCGGGACCGCTCCGGGACGCACGCCGGCGAAGCACCATCAAGCTGCTGTACGGCCCCGGCATCGCCTTCCCAGGCTTAGCTAAATTGAGAGATATTGTGAACATGGTTGGTCTCTACAATATATACACTGACACTGAACCTCCCAGAGCTCGTCCCGGTCCGTCACGGCCATCCTCGGCCTCCGGAGGGCCCCCGGCCGCGGCGCGGTGCGGCGGAGTCTCAAATCCGACGGCAGAGCACCGGGACGCGGTCGGGCGATCTAAGGCCCAGTGAGGCGTATGCATTGCCCATCCAGGGCTATCACCTGGACCTATCAACAGGCGCCTGCGGCGCCGTGGTCGGACGCTGCTGCTCCCACCTGTTCACACTTTCATAGTGGACAGTACTGGGCTGGGGTTTTTTTTTTAGCATTGTTTTGGGTTTTTAGGCATTGTGGGGTTGGCACTCCCATCGACCCTCATGACCTCCTGCGGTCTCTGAGATGGACACCAGTGGGTGTGGGACCACAGTCAGGATACACTCGAAGGCTGGGTAAGCAGTAGAGGTCGATACTCGACGCGTCCCACATGGTCTGTGTCGCTGTCGGCACGCTGTCGACAGGACGTCGAGCGACACCGGTGGCAGTGCCACCCAGGAGTGGTCGGGCGGTCTCCCGTCATGAGAGAGCCACCATGTGATCCGTATGATGATTCCTGACAACCGCCTCAGTCAACTTTCGTCACAGTTCCCGCTCTGAGAGGAGCTGCGGGTCAGTTCGACAGCTGGAGCTGTGTCGCCGGCGTGCGGCGGCCTGCCTCCGGAGGTGCCTCTAGGTGGACATTTTTTGGTCACCGTGAGAGAACGCGTTCGAATTTTCACTCCGGAACTTCAACTCCGCACGCGCACCGGCCAGGGCTACAATAGTGCCAGTGAGGCGGAGGCGCGAGTCGGAAGGCCGCGACCGTCAAGTGTTTTCGACATTTTCCTACAATCGCTGTGAACCCAGCCACGTAGTGGCGTGCTGTGTGCCTGGTTTTGATCTGTGTTCCCACCTGTTCGCTCAGAAAGCTTCTGGGCGGTCGTTAAGGTCCGCTCCCCGCACACCGGCCCGGAAGTACACGTATGTTACATCATAGCACACCGGCCCGGAAGTATGGTACCCTAGACGGACATGCCCAGAGCCTAGACGCGCTAGAGTGCGTCACATCCCCGTTTCCCGCGCGTTCAGGTCCGTAGCGCCTGTGCGCCCGCCGCGCCCAGCCTTGAGCCCTCAGGCAAGGCTTGCACAGGCCGCGGCGGCGGCAGAGAGGGAACTAAGGGCCAGGCGCGGCCCTCCTCCCGGGGTCGGTGGAGAAAGCTCAGGCGCCGTGCCCGAGCCCGCCGCCCAGCCTCGAGCCCGCCGACTTGCGCTTGTGCAGGAGGTGGAGGTAGACGAGGACCGCCGCGGCGGGAAGGAGGACGCAGAGGACGCCGAGCACGACGGCCGGCGGCAGCCACCACGGCTCCACGCCGTCGGCGACGGAGTAGAGGTAGTTGAAGGTCGAGATGAGCGCAGCCGCAATCGCCGTCCCGACGAGCGCCACGCCGCGCATCTGCAGGTCGCGCACGCGGCGGATGCGCGCGAGCTCGAGGTTGATCTTCTTGCGGTAGCTGTAGCCGTTGGCGCGGATGTGGCCGCCGGCTGCCTTGCTGAGCCGCGCCTGCAGGCGGAGGGAGGGCCGAGAGCGGCGCTGTCACGAGGGGCTGAGTGTCGATCGCGCCGTGTAGGGCAATCGTTCCACTTTCAGTCGCTGTTGCGGTCACAAAGAGAGGGCGAGTTCTGTCTAGCGGCGCGCCAAGATGTCGGGCGGCGCGTCGCCCTCGATGTCGAAGAGCGCCTTGGCGGCGCCGAGCGCGTCGAGCACCTAGCGAACGGAATAGGGCAACCGAGTCAGTGGACACTGACTGTGAACGAGGAGCGTCCGGGAGGAGAGTAGTGGAGCGAACCTTCTGGTCGCCCGCGATGCAGTCGATGACGGCGATGCCGCGCTCGACGCCGATCTTGCGCCGCAGCTCGAGGACGGACATCCAGGTGGACGCCGCGTCCTTCCACGTGTCGCTCTTCACCTCCAGCGCCTGTTCCGAGTGGGGAGGGGGGGAGAGGTTTGTGAGGAGGAGACGTGCTCTCTCAAATGAGTAACCTATCAGCACGCGCCTCGAGCTTCACGAGCGTGTCGAGCAGGTACGTCAGCTCGCTGTCGTCGACGTTGAGCTGCGGATCGGAGGCATGTGTGATTAGGGAGGGGGCGGGGGAGGGGGGGGGGGCAAAGAGACGGGGGTGCGGGCCTGGATCGGGCTTCGGCGAAGGGCCAGCCGCAGCATGTCGAAGCTCCCTTGGAAGCCGCCGGCGCTGACCTCGTACTTTGTCGCGGCGCTGAGGACGGACTTGACGACGCGGCTCTTGATGCTGCCCTCGCCGCCGAGGAACTTGAGCAGCTTCTGGTTCGCGGCGTCGCCAACACTAGCGACCTTCGCCGCGATCGTCTTCTCCATCTGCTCCGCCAGCTTCAGCTGCTCGGAGGCGACGTCGCTCAGCTTCTCGAGGACAGCGCCTATTGATAGACTTCCGTTCATCGTCAGCGCTTGCTCTCTATCGAATCAGAGGAACAGCATAATGAGCGCCGCAGCGGCCGAGCAGGAACTTGGACACGAGCTTGCCGATCCCCTCCTCGATTAGCACCGTCTCGAGATGCTTCTCGAGGCGGTCGGCGACGGCTGTGAAATCGCGTACGAGTCCGAGCTCGACGTCTTCGACGTGCAATGACAGCATCTGAAGGGTGTCCGAAACGACCGCCTCGACGGACTCCTCGAGTGCCGGCAGCATGGCGGTCGCCTCCTCGGCGATCAGGCGCAAGAGCTCTCGGAGGAGCTCGCCCGCGGCCTCGCCCCCCTCCGCCGCCGCTGCCGCCGCCGCCGCCGGCGGCGGCTCGGCCTCGGCAGTCGACTCTGGCTCAACCGACGGCGCGATCGACGCCGCGAGCTTGCCAAGCAGCTCTTTGGGCTGCGGCTCGAGCTTCAGCAGCACGCCCTCTCGCAGCGAGGCCCAAGAGTCGGGAGGATCGCTGCAGACAGCGAGCAGCGGCTGCAGCAGCTCCGACACGAGCAAGCGCACGAGCTTGCGGGTGGCGTCGCAGAGAAACTCTGCCGGCTTGTCGCAGTCCCCCGCGGCCTTGAGCACGGCGATGCAGCCGTTGAGCGCAGCGCGGAGCTTGCCGATGATCTCCTCCACGAGCTCGAGCGCCGGCGCCGCTGCCTTCACGAGAGCCGTCACGCCCGCCTCAAGCGCGTTGGCGACGATGTTCGTGGCCGTCCCCTCCTCCTCCTCCTCCTCCTCCGCCCCCTCGTCGTCGCTGCCGCCGTCGCTATCGCCTCCGGCGAGCGCCGCGTAGAGCCCTTTCGCGGCCTGCCCGCCGACCGCCCGCAGCCGCCACGCCAGCGCAAGCGTCGGAGGGCGCGCCTCGGGCGGCTTGAAGGGTGAGAACTTGGCGCCGATGAGCTTGACGCCAGCGAGGACGGCGCGCTCGAACTTCGCGCCCTGCAGTTTGGCGCCCTCGAGGTCGGCCTTCTCGAGGTTGACGCCGATGAGGACTGTGCCGCGCAAGTCGGCATTCTTCAGGTTGGCGCCAGCAGCGAGGTTGGCGCCGGTGAGGTCGGCGCCGCGCAGGTCGGCGCCCCCGAGGTTCGCCCCCTGCAGCTGCGCCCAGTGGAGATCTGCCCCCTGCAGCTGCGCCTCGCGGAGATATGCCCCCTGCAGCTGCGCCCAGCGGAGATCTGCCCCCTGCAGCTGCGCCATGCTGAGATATGCCCCCTGCAGCTGCGCGTTGCGGAGATCTGCCCCCTGCAGCTGCGCCATGCTGAGATCTGCCCCCTGCAGCTGCGCCCTTAGGAGATCTGCCCCCTGCAGCTGCGCTCTGTTGAGACATGCCCCCTGCAGCTGCGCCTGGTAGAGATCTGCCCCCTGCAGCTGCGCCCTTTCGAGTTCTGCCCCCTCCAGCTGCGCCTTGTAGAGATTTGCGACGCGCACCGACTCGCCCGGCTCGTTCCGCAGCGCCTTGCCCCATTCCATCCACGCCTCGCCCAGCTCCTTCCCCTTCTTCCCCTCCACCGCCAGCAGCACGACGCCCTCGGACCCCTCCACGTTGTCGAGCTTCACCTTACGCAGGTCGGCATCCCGCAGGTTGGTGCCGGCCAGCTTGGCGCCAGAGAGGACGGCCGCCCGCCGCTCCTCCGCCCCCTCCTCGGCCGGCTTGAAGTATTCCTGATAACTCCTCCGCCACCCACGCCCCCCCCACGCCTCCCACGCCTTGCCGAGCGCCGCTCCCCCGAGGCCCTCCACGTCCGGCGGGGCGAGGACATACCCCTCCTGCAGCACCGCCTTTTCGAGATCCGCGCCGCGCAGGTCAGATCCCTTGAGGTTCGCGCCCGCCAGCCTCGCCTCCGGCAGCGTCACGCCCTGCAGGTCTCGCCCCTCCAGCTGCTCGCCTCGCAGGTCCGCCGGCGGCCGCACTGTTAGCGTTAGTGGCCGCACTTTGAGCATCGCTAGCAGTTCGGCACGAGCGAGCCCACTCGCATCGCTGCCGTTGAGCGCAAGGATAACGGACATCCGAGGCACGCCCTGCTCGAGCGCCGCGCCCTTAACAGCCTTGATGGCTACTCCGTCGATATGCCACTCCGTCGTGATGCCAAGGGGCCCGGCCTCTTCAAAGGTGAAGCTGCGCGGCTCGCTAAGCGGCAAGCGTTGCGCCGCAAGCTGCTCGCCTCCCGGCTCCGCCTCGGGGGGGCGCCCAGGCGGACGCTCGGCGCCGGACCCGAGCGGCTCTGCCTCGGCGGCCGCCTCGTCCTCGCCCGCCGCCGGCCTTGCGCCGAGAAAGGCGAACATGCTCGGCGATCGCCTTCGGGACGCTGCGCCAAAAGAAATACCCGCCGCGCGTAAATTTCCCTCCCTCTCCGTGTGTGTGTGTGTGTGTGTGTGTGTGCGGTCTTCCGCGGGGGGAGCTGCGTCGACGGGTGCGGGACCGCGGCGCAAACAGTGCTGCGGCGATGCCTCCGGCTGCTGCGGCGAGTGGTTTGCTGCTCGCTGCGATGGCGAAGAACTCGTCTCGCCATGGGTGGACGCAAGACAGATGATGACGACACGCACGAGCGACACACAGACACAAACAAGCTCACAACACACACGGGGGGGGGGGGGGGGATGTGGGATGGGGGAATGTCCTGTGGGATGGGGGAAACACAGTCCGACCAACGACTGGGACACCAACGCGGTATGGGTAGGTAGGTAGGTAGTAAGGTGATGGGTGGACGCTAGGTTCCCTACTGGCGTGCTGTGAACAGCGCGATAGGACGTATTTTCTTCGCATACGGGTAACAAAAGGCTATGCGCCGGCGCCCCAGCGTAGAGGGCCTCGTGTAGCCCTCCTTTTGGTATAATATAAAGGCTAAGCTCATAACAAAAGACGCCTGGTTTTGATCTGTGGCGTCGTGTCGGCTACCCTTGCCAGCTAGTGTCCTACGCACGCATGGAAAGCGAGGTGCGGCGTGCATGACCCAGGCTGCTGATTGGGCGCGAGCCGCCACCGACTGTCGGAATTTGCAAGGCGGCGTGCACTCGCTGCACGCACAGCTGCGGAAGAAAGTGGCGCAACGGGTGACGCTCTGCGCACCTCGGAAGCCAGCACTCGCCGCTCGGCTGCTGGATGGCAACGAAAAGCTGAGCGTGTCCTCGCCTTCCGCTGCCGTCGACGCGCTGCTCTGCCTACTCGAGTCTCCGGCTACTCTCCACGCACGCGTGGTGGATGCGGCCCGGGCGGTGGCATCAGAGCAGAATCGGCTCGTGCTGTTCACGCCAGCGCGGCCGGCGGCGGGCCCGCGCCTGCTCGTGCTGCACCACGAATGCCTCGAGATGGGCCACACACTGGCGCTGCTTGCCGACGACCTCGTTCACCCCTCCGGCGGCGGCGGCACCTTGACATGCAGCGTCGAGCCAGTCATGTGGCTCCACCTCTGGCGCTGCGGCCCTCTCCTCGAAGAGCTGGCGTCGGTGACGCGGCGGCACCCCGCCGGGGAGGCGCGCAGCCTGGCCTACGCGCAGGCCTTCGCCTCCGCCGCGAAGACGCCGCGGCGGGTGCTCGAGCTACTGCACAGCGGCTTTAGCTTCCTCGGCCTGGACGGCCACGCGGGGCGCGTCGACCTGCGCGGCCTCGCGGCGGCGCGGATGGCGGCGTTGCTGCGTCCCCACGCTGTTGCAAGCGATGTGGGCACGCTTCGGCGGCTGCTGGGGGTGGTCGATCCGTGCATGAGCGACGCGCAGGCGGCCGAGGCGTGCTCCGAGCCGCTATTCAGCCCCGCCGAGCCCGCGCCGCCCGCCCTGGCCCGCGGGTGGTCGCGGCATTCGGACCACGAGCCGAGCCTGTTGATCGAGTGCCTCGAGCAGTGCGACGCGCGCACGCTGCGAGCGCTCAAGGCGGTCTCGACGCGGTGGGGCGAGCGAGCGCGCCGCTGCCTGGCGCTTGACACGTGGCGAGCTGCGATGTGGGGTGCGCTCAAGGCGGTCCCGGCCGCCGACGACCTCCCGCTCGCGCAGCGGCTCCGGCTCGTGCCTCTCGCCGCGGTGCGAGATCTCGACCCCGCGGTCGAGCTGCCGGCGCACGTACTGCAGCTAGCAGATTTGCTCGACCCTCCGCTCGGCGACTCGTGGGCGCAAGACCGCGCGCAGCAGGCGGCGGTGGCAGCGCTGTGCCGGGTTGAGCCGCCGGCGTTGGTGCTGCACCTGCCGGCGCTGCTGTGCCTGCTCGCGCACGGCAGCGCTGACGTGCAGCGCGCGGCGGGGCTAGTGCTGAAGGGGGTCGAGCCGTCGGCGCTCGAGCTGCACTCGGGGCCGCTGCTGCACTTGCTCGAGGAGGGGTGGAGCCAGGCGTCGCTCCCTGCACGGGTGCGCCGCACGCTGCCCAAAGGGTGCGGCTCACCGTGCTGCGCCTGCTGGCCAAGGTCGATTCGCTCGAGCCGCGGATCAATGCGCTGCTCTCTCCGTTTCTACGCGCTGCGCTGGCGGGAGGCGTAGACCGTGGGGCGATATCATGGACAGGGAAAAACGTCGAGCGGAGAACCGCGATGTTGTCGCTCTCTGCCCTGACGCCACGGGCGCTCGAGGCTCACGTCGCGTTGGTCCTGCCGCACCTCCATGATTGCGAGCTCGTCCGTGCGCTGCCCCCGAATCGCGCCAGCCGCCAGATGCAGCACATGGCCGAGACGGTGATGCAGAAGCTCGAGCCTCGGGCGCTCGCCTTGCAGATCGAGCCGCTCGTGCGGATCTGCGCGCGTGCGGACGTGGCTGAGGTGCGCAAGTCGGTGCTCCGCCTGCTGGACAAGATCGACGCTGCGCTGCTGCTGCAACACATGCCGACGCTGCTACCCCTGCTGTCTGACTCCGAGCACGGCGTGCAGCGGTACGCGCTCGAGCTGCTGGCGAGGCTCCCTCCCGAGGCGCTCGCGCACCAGAGCGGCGCGCTGCTACCGCTCCTCGCCCATCCGCATCGCGACGTGCGGCGGGCGGCCCTGGGTGCGCTGGAGAGGCTTGAGCCGCGCGCGCTGGACGATCGCGCCGCGGCAGCGCTGCTGCAACAGCTGCAGCACCCGACGTTCGAAGTTCGGCGCGACGCGCTGCGCTTGCTGGGCAGCCTGGACACGCGGCGGCTCGACGTGGGCGCGCTGCTGCCGCTGCTTCGGGACGAGAACTGGGAAGCACGTTGGTTCGCGCTGGAGCTGCTGAGCAGGTTTGGTCCGCAGGCGCTCGCTCCGCACCTCGACGCCTTCCTGCTGCTGCTCGCTGACGATCGCCTTGAGGGCGAGGCGGGCTTCCTGCCGCATTCTCGAGCAGGCAGAGGCGAGACGAGGAAGGACCGCGAACGGCGGCTGGTCCGGGACGCCGCGATTCGCGTGATTGAGAGTTGCACCGCTACCGGATCGTAAATCGACACGCGCGCCATTTCCAGGATGGAGGCCGCGGGCCTCGTCTTGCTCGCCTTCGCTGCCGGGCCGGCGCTGGGTGCTCGCCTACGCTGAGCCGTGCATCTCCATGCCGTTTCCCGCCTCCGTCGGCCTCGATGTACAGTTTACGACGGTCGCCGCGATGCACAGGCCACAGCAGGGCCGCAGACGGGGGCTGTCACGATGTTGCCCCAGGGGCGTACCCCCATTGTATATGTGCGAGAGTGCACGATAATAATGTAGATACCGTAGTAGAACCAAAAACCGAGCGGTCCGGATATTGCGGTGGAGGCCGGGGAGGTGTGCGTGGGCGTGTTGGCTGTTCCTTGTGTATTGGGCAGGCGGGCACAGGCCGGGGGCGCATGGCGGCCGCCGGCGCCGGCGGGGACGGCGGGGAGAGCGGAGCGGAGTCGCCCTCACCTGCTGGTGCTGCTGTAGACAGTAGAGAGCCGGAAAACGGCGCGTGACGCTCTCCCTTCGTGCAAATAAATAAATAAAAACGGACACCTCTCTACTGTGAGATGCAACAAGAACGCTGCTCCATCACGCTGGAGGTGGATGATTATTCTTCGTTGTGACGAGGTTTGGTGAGTGCTGAATGAAAGCGATTGGAGCTTTGTTGAAGCGGTCTGCGTGTGGCGCAATGCACCCAATGCGCACGACTTGCGAATTGCCGTTGAGCGCCGCTCGACAACTGCGCGAAGACCGCTGAACAAGCATCGGCTTCGAGTCCCAAGTGAAGTCCTAAGTGAAATGCGTACTGCGCCGCCTGATCCAGCGCTGCCACGTACCAGTGCGCGCCCATTTCACTTTTTGCAAGAGGTGCACAGTGTTTCCCACCACCGCCTATCCTGCGGCAACCGCCACATGGCGCCGCATATGACACAGATGTCGCAGTTGCTGGTGCACCAGCTGGCTCGCCAGCCATGCTGGAGGACAGCCTCGAGTGCCCATGCCAAGCCATCTCCCCGCACCGAATGTATCGGTAGTTCGTTGAGCGCCTGTGCCTCCTCCCTATTGCACGGCCTGCGGAATCGACCGATGCCGAATAGAGGGCGAACGTTGATTAGCTCGACATCGAACGGGTTCCCAAGGTGCTGAACCGAGTATAGCAAAAACGGATCGATGTAGGACACCTCGCCCAACGCCGGAGGTGCCGTCCACGAGAGGGCTACGGAGCCATGCTGCCTCCGGAGCAGCCTGGTTAGCTGGACTGCCACTACGGCAGGGAAAACCCAGAAGTCGAGCTGTGGGCGCGTCCTGGTGTCGGATGGCCACGGGAAGTTGGGCGTCGAGTGCTTGGCCACGAGACCCAGCTTTGCCGCGAACAGGTCACGGTGGCACGCTTGCCAGCTCTCGAGCTCTGGGTGGTGGGGGGCGTCTGTATAGCGGAGGACAAACGCTGCTGGCCGGGAAAAGATCGGCTCAAAGAAAAAGGGCCGAAAGGCGAACGACTCGGCGTCGACCACCCACGCACGCTCGCACCCTCGCTCATGGGCGTACGCAACCCCGAATAGCTTTTTCAATCCCTGCAGGATCCTTCCCGTCCCAAGAGGATATTGGGAGAGGTTGCGTGGCCCGTGTCGGCCGCACAGGTAGCCGTGTGTTCGGATGCGCAAGGGCCAGGGCTCGTGCGCTCGTTGCAGCAGCCACTGCGCCGACACGGTCTGCACAAACGGGAAGGTGCAAAGCGACGTGTCATTGCGCACTTGGCACGTTGATGCGATGGAATCCTGCCTCCCGCCCGAGTTGGAGACAATCAGGTAGAGCCGCGGCAGGCGATCACGAGCGAAATGTAACATCGACTTGACGAGCAGAGCAGCATGTGGGAGGTGTTGGTCGTGCACAGGCGTCACCATGCAACGCGACATCCCCCTTTGCTCGACACACACACGACTAAGGGCGTAGACTCTACGCCCTTAACACGACATCATGGGCCGGGCGCGAAGTGCATGTTTTGACGACTCGAACCCGCGAAGGTTCCCATTTTAAGTCGAGTGAAGGCGCGACGTACGGACGGCAAACCCCGCAAGGGGCGCCTACTAACCTCGCTTGCGAGGGGCGTGTGGCATGTCTGAACGAACTCGTGAGGGGCGCCTGCCAACCTCGCTTCGTCGAAGCGGCGCTCGGTACCCACACCCACCCCGCCGCATTCGTCGCCGGCGCGCGACACGTTCCCGTCGGCTGGACTGCCCTCGTCGAGTGCGTGTCGCCAACCAAGGCGGAACGCACTCAGGGACAGTGCCGGCGGGACGCGGCTCGAGAGGCGGCTCCCGCGGAGGCACGGCTGGCACCCGTGGCGCGGGGCTCGTCTTCGGAAAGACCAGGATCGCTCTACTGGCAAAGTTCTGGCTGACGCGCGCGCCCGGTCGAGCCTTCGGCGGGCGCGCTGCGGTCGCACGCCTACCCAAGTCATATGCCACGGCGTGCGATCTAGATTCAGCACACGCGCCTCTGCTCGCAACCACTCATCCAATGAACTGTCGTCACCCATGAGTGCGAGTTAGGGCTAGCGGCTGGCCAATAGCCTGTGAGGAGGGCGTCCAAAGACACCTCACAAGACCCCACACACGGTCTCGTCCGTGCCTTGCGGCCGGCGACGAGATTGCTAGAGGCGGAGCAAGCCTGCTCTAGTCTCACACGTTCGCCCCTGTCGCCTGTCTGTGTTGTTGTGCTGTTGTTTGTCTCTTGGCACCTTGGAGTGCTGGGGGGGGCGACAGGGGGGACGTGGCCTGAGTGATGTGTACGCCCACTCAGGATGTGTGGCAGCCCGCTGGCTGTGTGTCTTATGAGCTTGTTTGTGTCTGTGTGTCGCTCGTGCGAGGTGGTAGGAGGGCGGCGGCGGCGTGAGCGACGGCGGCGGCGGTGTGGGGGAGGTGGAGGGCGGCGGCGGCGTGAGCGGCGGCGTCGGCGGTGTGGTGGAGGTGGAGGGCGGCGGCGGCGTGAGCGGCGGCGTCGGCGGTGTGGGCGAGGTGGAGGGCGGCGGCGGCGTGAGCGGCGACGGCGGCGGTGTGGGCGAGGTGGTGGGCGGCGGAGGGGTGGGCGAGGTGGAGGGCGGCGGCGGCGTGAGCGGCGACGGCGGCGGTGTGGGCGAGGTGGAGGGCGGCGGCGGCGTGAGCGGCGGCGTCGGCGGTGTGGTGGAGGTGGAGGGCGGCGGCGGCGTGAGCGGCGGCGGCGGCGGTGTGGGTGGGGTGGAGGGCGGCGGCGGCGTGGGCGAGGTGGAGGGCGGCGGCGGCGTGAGCGGCGGCGGCGGCGGTGTGGGGGAGGTGGAGGGCGGCGGAGGCGCGGGCGAGGTGGAGGGCGGCGGCGGCGTGAGCGGCGACGGCGGCGGTGTGGGCGAGGTGGAGGACGGCGGCGGCGTGAGCGGCGGCGGCGGCGGGTGTGGGGGAGCTGGAGAGGGCGGCGGAGGCGTGAGTCCCGTGCCCAGTGTCGTGCGAGGAAGCTTTGTTGTAAAATTCTTCTGATTTTTCCACGGATAACATCGAAGGCTAAACCGAAGATAAAACAGACTGCCACCGAGTTTCAAGATTCAACTAGAACCCAGAAGATCGCAAAGGCGGGGTCCGTTTTTATTTATTTAACGTAACCCAGTTCCACGTTGACCGTTGACGATGCAAACTCGTAACGTACGACGTCGTCTCTCGGATCTAGGAATTCCTATGAGAGGGGCGTGAAACATAATGTCTCGGCAAGGCACGCCGTGCGGTGGGTGGACCCCGATCCCCAGCAGCCAAGAGTGGCGCCGGCCCGCGCCGCTCGCGCCCGCTCCCTCACACGAACGTGGGCAGGACGCGGATCTCGTAGAAGCCCACCTTCGGCTTGTTCGGCTTGCCCACCACAGACTCCTCCACCCACACGCTCAGCTGGCGGGCGAGCGTCGGGCGCGCCTTCCGCGGGGCCGACCCCTGCTCGGCGGGCGGGAAGAATCCGGGGGGCGGCTCTCCCCAGTTGAGCTGGCCGTTGCCGAAGCGCGAGTTGACCGCCACGGTGTGCGCCTTGTCGGACGCCTGTTCACAGTGTGCAGCCGCCGTGAAGAGGCGCCGTTCACAGCCTCGGCGTGGCGCGTCTTGAGGGCGGCGCCTCCGCGTCCGCCTCCGAAGCGGCGGCCGAGTCCGCAGCCTCGATCACCTGGTTCACAGACGAGGTGGCGTGAATGACGCGCGGGCAGCACGGGGAGAGGAGGAAGAGCCCATCCTAATCTCTTGGCTTGCATCTCGGCTGCATCTCGGCTGCATCTCCGCTACGGCGGCCGACCACCTGCAGCATGGTGCACGGCGGGAAGAGCACCTCCTCCTCGCCGGCAAACTGCGAGAGGAGCGAGATGTCGGCGCCGTAGTGGAAGCCCGTGTCCGTCTCGCGCGAAGGGCGGAGGCTCCACAGCACGTTGGGGCCCGCCTGTCCACAGAACAAAAGCGTGAAGAGACGCCGTTCACATCCGAGCGGCTCCACAGACTATTAAGGCCCAGGCCTCGTCCATGTAATGCACTGGCGTGGCGCGGTTGCACGAGGTGGACATGAACGCGGTGTCGGTGGCACAGACCATGCCGAGCTCGCCCCGCACCCAGAAGGAGTCCGGCAGCTCGCCTGTTGACACGCAAGGCCTGTGAAGGGAGGCTGTTCAGCTCGCTCGCCCCGCACGGTCTCTGGCAGAGCTCGCCGCGCACGCCACGGTACAGCGGAGAGCTCGCCTCCTCGGGCAGCGTGATGGCGGAGAGCTTGCGGATCGCGCGGCAGAGGTGCGACACCGTGGCCGTGTACGTTGCCTCCGGGTGCGTCGCAAGCATGCGGCGGAAACCGCCCTAAAGGTGGATAGTGATCGATGAATGCCGAGCCGCGGCGCGGGTGGCGTAGTGTACGAAATCGCCGTAGTGTAGGACGACATGCTGCCGATCGCGCGGAGAAAGTGGTTGACAACCTGGTACGCCGGGCCGGAGTACAGCCGCACCGCGAGCACCTCCTCGCGCGTGAGAAACGCGTTGGCCTCGCTCGGCATTGGCGCGTATGGGTCGGCTGCCTTCAGCTCCACGCGCCGCTTTGCAATGTGGTCGTTGATTCGATCGCAAAACTGCTGCAGGGTCACGCCACCGTTGTCCTTGTCACGCGTCCCGGGCGTCTTGTCTGTCGCAGGGACGGCTGGTCCGTTGACATACTCCCACTCCTCGCGTAGCGTGTACGACGCGCCCTTGTAGTCGGTCCACGCGTAGTCGCGCGTGAACTCCTGCTCCAGAGTGAGCAGCGGCCGTGTGATGATGTCGTCGAGGCCCTTGACGAACGCCTGGCGCGACGCATACTGCAGCGAGACGGGGAGATCGGCCATCTTGCCGCCGTTGGCGCTAGTGCTCGCCACGCTCGGCGCCTAACCTCGGGCAATCTCGAGGTGAGGGGGGCTCTCGGACCGCCTCGTCGGTGCTGCCTCCATGCTCAGCGCCTTGAAGGTCGCCGTTACGACGAGGAGGTCGACGCCTGGCCTCGTCTCTCCGTCCGGCGCGAGCCAGCTGCCCGCGGGCTTGATCTCCTTGAGCCGGAAGAGCGTGTTGGGCGGGAAAGCGCCCGAGGTCTGCTGCCGCAGTGAGAGGCTTGCCCGGCGAGAGAGCGGCTCCGGCGGCTCGGAGGACGACGACCGCCTGTCGGCCGACGCCGACGCCGACGAGAAGCGGGCGAGCAGAGGCGCGCTCACCGCCGCCAGCTTCTCTCCGATCGGGCCGAAGCTGGCCGAGAGAGGCGAGGCCGCCGAGACAGGCGACGCCACAGACATGTCCTTGCGGGAGGGGGTGGAGCGGCGAGAGAGGCGGGGCTTCTCGACCGTGATCTGCTTGATGATGACGGGCGAATGGTCGCCCTGCAAATTGCTCTCCGCTGCCTCGAAGCACACAATCGGGCCGTCCACCGCCACAAACGCGCCTACACGAAAGGCCCGACAAGGGTCTGCGAGACCGGCCCGCGCGCCTGGGCCGTCGACCGTTGGAACGCGCGCCGTCGGCGTACACGCGGTAGCCCTCCTCGCTGAAGCAATCGACCCGGTCGTTCGCCCTCACCAGCGTCTCGGAGAGCAGCCCGCGGAAGCCCGCCTCGTCGGGCGCGCGGAGGTTGCGCCAGCGCGCGTCGCCCTCCTGCAAGCCATACTTGCCCTCCAAGTTCGTGTAGAGCAGGGGCGGCAGCACCGAATCGGCAAACGGCCCGTCGGAGTCGCCCTCCACCGCCGCCCGCACTGCCTGCTTCTGCTGCCAGTCCTGCTGCTGCTTGCGGAAGGTTGCGTGGAGGGCGTCGCAGAGGGCGTAGGTGGAGCAGGCAAAGTCCTTTCGCCCCTCGCGCATCGCTGCGCCGAGAGCGCCCTTGACCGACTGCAGCGCGTGGTACGTCTCCGCGTGCTCGCGCTCCATGCCGCTGGCGACACTCTCCTGGATGGCGCTATCGAACCTCTGCAGCACCTTTGGGAGAGGCTTGTGCCGCTCAACCCACTCCTTGGTGCCCCGCTCCTCTCTCCGCTGCGACGAGCGCTCCCTTAGAGAGCGCTCCTGGAGCGACGTCGTAGACGGCTCGGTGCCGGAAGAGACGCGGGGGCGGGCGGGCGGCGGGCTCTTCGACGACTCGGCGAGGCCCTCGGTGAAGCGCAAGTACTGCTCCGCCCGCAGCGCCACCCACTCCTCCTTCCAGCCGGTCTTGTACTCGTCAGGCGGGTCGCCGATGCAGTCGCGCAACGAGCGGAGGTAGCCGGTGCGGCTGAGAGGGAGGCGAGAGGGGGTGAGACGGCTGCGCGTCGCAGGCGGGGTGGCAGAGCGCCCACTGCGCCTGGTAGGGTTGAACGTCGGCGTGAGCTCGGCCACGAGATTGCGCGCCGCGGCCATCTTGTCGCGCAACTCGAGCAGCTCGGTCCGCGCCCGCCGCAACTGCACGTCAGAGAGGAACCTGTTCACATCCGCATGGTGACGGCACGGTTCACAACTGCCAAGCTGAGGCAGCCGGAGACGTACTTGCCAAACACCCACTCCAAGCGCGGCGGCAGCCACTCCAACCCCTTCTCGAGCCGTGTCGAGGAGGGCTGCAGCGGCGGCGCCTCGGAGCTAAAGTAAAAGCTCGCGCTCGGGTCGAAGAGGCCGGGCGTGTCGAGGAGGGCGGAGAGGCGGAGCAGGCCAGCCGCTCCGATTGACCATAGCCGCTCGGGGAACTCTGCCCAGAAGCGGTGCCCGCCCCACTTCTCGACGGCCTTGTCCCAACCGGGCCCCTCCTGCTGCAGCACCTCGCAGAGCGTCTGCCGCACAAGCGGCCGCAACTCCTCCACCGACAGCCACCGCTCCGCGAAACCCAACTCGGCGACGTCGGCGAAACTCGACATGGCGAGCACACCGCCGCGGATCGGCGCAAAAGGGAGCAGCAGCGGCCCGTGCGCGTCTATCAAACGGCGCAGCCGGGCGTACGACCCTTCCTTCGATGGCCAGGGCGGTGCAGACTCTCCCGGGCTGCTGCCGCCGAAGCCGCCGCTACCGCCCTGGACCGTCGCCTCTGACGCGCTGAGGCGCGCCGAACCGAGGGACTTGAGGCGCGCGTCCAGCGCCTGCGGGCTCGAGGACGCCTTCTGGGCTGCCTTGCCGGCCTCCTGGCCGATCGCCGCTGCCTCATTGCCTCTCTTGTCGGCGAGGATAGCGTCGCTGGCCGCCCTGCCGGCGGCGTCGGCAGCGTCGAGAGAGAGGCCATCGTCGAGCGCCGCTCGCGTCGCCTTGCCCGCCGCCACGTCTGCGAGGAAGCCCCTCTGCGCGCCGCCTGAGCCGAGTGGCATCGAGACGGGAGGCGTCCCCGCCTCTGCAGTCGACATGCCGCGGATGCCCACCTGCACAAGGGCCACGGACGTTTCATGGCTTTCTAGACGCGTCCTGGACACGTCCTCGCGACGAGCTCGCCTGCACAGAGGCGCCGCCTGCCGCGAGCAGCTGGACGCAATCGTAGCCCTGCTCCGCGAAGGCGCTGCCGAAGAGCTCCTTCGCCGCCGCCCACTCCCACCGCGCCTCGTTCACGCCCTCGACGATTTGGAAGGAGAGCGTGGCGGGAAGGCTGCCGTCTGCCACCTGATGCAGAGGGGGTGAGTGCGCAGCTTCACAGTCATCATGCTAGAATGCATGAATGAATGAATGAATGAATGAATGCACGAATGCACACTATCAAACTATTAGCTTAGCCTAATAATTAGCATATACCTAATAATAATATTATTATTATTAAGCTCATCTTAGCATTTTAACGAAACTGATTAGTGTAAATAGGCTAAAGATGCAATCAGGCTAATTATCAGGTATGTGCTAATAATTAGCACATTATTAGGCTAATAACTTGATAGTGAACGATGCATGCATGAATGAATGAATGCATGAACGCGCAACACGCCTTTGGCCACGTCAGGCGGCAGAATCGTGCAAACGCGTCCACCTGTGCCGCGCCGACGTCGTCGCGGTCGCGGATCTTTCGCACGCCCCCCGTGGCGCCGAGGAAGACGACGCACGTCTCGGGCGGGTGCGCCTATGAATCATGAACAGCTGGTTTGTATCAAACAGAGCGGATCAGGGCCGGCTGCTGGGTGGGTGTGCGCCTTCCGAAACGCCTCCGATCCCGCGCCGAAGGAGCGAAGGGCCGCGGCCAGCAGCTGCAGGAAGTTTTCGAAGGCGTCCTTACTGCCGTCCTTTATCACGTCGCCGAGCGCCAGCGACTTGCCATCCGGCATCCGCAACCTAGGAAGAGCCGCACCCATTCAAAAATAACTGCTCAGCCGGCGCTGCCCAACGACATGCCATCGAATCTCGAGGAGGCGAGGCGGGGGTGGGTTTGCGGGAGAGGGAGAGGGAGAGGCGGCGGTGGCGGCGGGGGAGGCACGGGAAGTGGGTCGCAGCTGCACCGTGAGCTCCGCTGTCGCGTCACGCCATCCTCGCCGATGCAGAACTCGAAAACCTCGGTATGGGCGGAGCCAGCATCGACCACAAACTCCGAAAAGGACGACATTGGTCCCGTGCCGACCGGCGACGGCTGCGGCGACGGCTGCGGCGACGGTGACGGCGACGGCTGCGGCGGCTGCGGCTGCGACGGTCCGCGGCGGCGGCGCCTCTCCAGCAGCAACAGCACAAAGACCGGCAGCACGAGTAGAAGAAGGATGGCGCCGAGCAGAGGCAGCGGGCTCGAGCCCGTGTTAGACGCGGAGGCGACGGCGGAGTCGGAGGCTGCGCGAAGCACCGGGCGCGATGCGCGCCTCCACCACTGCTCCATCGGCACTAGTTTATCTCGCTTCACACATCCTAGTATCCGAGTGAGGATACATTGGAATGGTAAAAGGGTCCGTCATGCGTACGAGACTCGTGACTCCACACATGGAGAGTACTCACGGTACGAGAGCACGCTAACATCCCCTGGGGTCCTGCCACTAAAGGCGGAGGGTTGGGACTCAATCAGCTTGGACGAACCACAGGTCCGGAGGAATCCTCGACGTCCTGTGGCCGGCCGCGTCGCCGAAAGGGTTCGCGCCTCAGACCCAGACTAAAGAGAGGGGCCGGCGTACACGCCCGCTCACCCCTTCGACACAGCGCTGTGAATAGCGCTAACGCCGACGGCGCCTCACGTTCTCCTTCTCGGAGCCAGCAGGCTCAGCGACGGCGAGGGCCCCTGCCACAGAGCCCCAAGACTCGATGGGCGGCAAGGTTGTAGGCCGCTCCTCGCTGCCGAGAACGGCGGTGACGTATGAGAGGTCGCCACGCGAGGGCATATCGGCTACGTTAGCCTCTGAGCGCACGTAGACCATCCACACATCGGCTGACAGCCCGCTGACCAGCGCCCAGAAGCTGTGGACGACGCGCGCCGAGTCATCGGAGCTAGAATAGCCCTTGACGATGGACGCGAGAGCCGACGCGTTGTCGATGAAGTGAAAGACGCGACGGTCACGGAAGACGTCCGGCATGGAGTAGTAAACGGCAACGGCTGCGAGGAGCTCTAGTTGGCCGATGTACTGGAGGCGCACAGCAAAGAGGCGCATGAAGTCCTCCGGAACGGCAAGGGAGGAGTGGTACCATGACCCGCCCTCGCCCTCATCGTCGGGGACGAAGACGACGAAGCCAATCCGAGCAGGGACGTCCTCGGAGGGCGACCACATCGCGTCTGTCCAGACTAGGACGGGCTTGCGCCGGCGTCGCCGCCGAAGCAAACAGATCGTCCTCGGCCGCAGGCGAGACCGACCACTAGTGTCGGCCAGAAGCCCGCGCAAGAAGAGAAGAGCGCGACGCAGCGACTCTGGGAAGCTGGATCCTCGGGACCCTTGTGCAGCTCTGTACAGGGGCTGGAGGGCGGCACGCCCGAAGCGATAGGCAGACCAGCACACTGAGAACTGGAGCTGACCGCATAGCTTGGCCGCGCCTCGCGACCCGTCGAACGAGCCCGCGGCCAAGATGGCATCTATCGCCTCAGCAATCCCTTCCACTCGCGCGCTCGAGACGGAGCAACGAACCAGCCGACGGGTCGAGAACGAACTAAAGTCGTGGACCACACCTAAGTAGGTGTTCACCAGAGCAGCCAATGACGATTTATCGTCGCCCACGTTGGCGCCCGAGAAAGGGAAGCCCAAGAGGGCTGAGAACTCCCGCAGAAAGAACTGGCCGCCGGCCGCAAACGAGGGCTCGCATATGGCGAAGTCATCGAAAAAGTGAGAGCCCACGACGGGGAGAAGCCTCACAGAGGCGCGACAAATAAACTCGGCGAGTCTATTGAACTGTATGACGGCCGATTTCAATCCAAAATTGAAGCCTTGTAGGCGAAAGAAGAAGACCCTGCCAGTGGACGGATCCAACTGGGCGAAGATCGTGTACCACGGTTGGCTACACGGCACGCGTCGATACGCGGCCTCGATGTCCTCGGTTCCTAGGAGCATCGAGAAGGAGGCTGCCTCGCCGACTAACTCGGCAAAAAGCGCGGCAGCACGAGCCGGAAAGTCGGCCGTGTCCGTGACGAGCCGCTCAAAGAGGGAAGTAGCAGCATTGTGAAGGCTGTCACGACAGTTGTCACACGGTCGAAGCTTGCCTTTCTGCCATACGCCAAAGCGCATCGAGCATCGCCAAGCCTCACGACCACCGAGGTGGCCGTCGATCTCTGCGACATCATCGATCGAAGCGACAGAACCGATGGGAGACGCCCAACCATCGGTAACCTCCTTCTGAGTCCGATCCCAGAGAGCGACTAGATCGGGTCGCTTCTCGGGTTTGCCACGGAGAGCGAAGAGGCTCTCAGCGACCTTGCGATTCCAGTCGCCGTGTGCAAGCTCGTCCATCGCCACCGAGGCAGGCTGCTCGTACTCGCGAAAGACACCGCTGTCTGGACAGCCGCCGACGCATGGGGCGCCAAGGACTAGGTCCTCAAAGAGTCCCTCGTCAGGCCATCCAATGGCGTCCGCAACACAGGACGCGAATGCATAATGAGGAAGAGGCGGCTTCGCTTCGCGAAGGTGAGCTGGCGAGAAACCGCCAAAGTGTGTGGACCAGCCGAGCAGATCAGACGCAACCTTCGCTATCGAGGAGAGTCTCCCCTTTCGGAGGTTGTGAGCGTTCGAGCCAGACGCAACCAACCACTCCGCCGCCGCCCGCACGTCATCCGGCAGGGACGAGTGAAGCTGGTCGAGGGGGTGAACCATGCCCATAGCCTCAGATATCTGAGAGGCGACCTCCACGGCACGAGCGGCTGGGAAATCGGCCGGATCATGAGGCATGCGCGCCTTGGCTTGTAGAGCCCAAGGCTCGGCCGCTGCCGTCGGCCGACGGTGGCCGACACAGAGCGCGAGCGCCGACAGGATCGCGAGCGACTTTGTGTAGACCTTGGAGGAGCGCATGCGCTCGCGCTCGGAGCGAACTTGTGCCAGCATGGCTGCTCGAGAGTCGTCAGGCGTGCTGGCTGGGAGAGGCCAAGGACTCCTGGACGGAGAACCAAATTTCGTGGCGGCGTGATAGAACAAGCGCCGTAAAGAAGAAATTCCCGCACTGAAAGAGAAGCGGACGACATCTGACGGGGTCGATTGGACCGGCAGCTGGGCGAAGGGCCAGCTTCGCCAGCTGATCAAGCAACTCCGCAACCTCGCCGAGGCGGAGGAGAAGGCGCGGGCCCTGCTGGTCTCTTCCTCGACGACGCTCCCGCAGACGCCAACCGAGGCGAGCGGAGGCAGGGCGCCGGCTGCCCCGATGCCCGCTCCATCCCGTACAAAGGAGGAGAAGGACCTCGAGAAGTTCGCCTCCGCGCGGGTCTGGTGGCAGGCCCAGCGGGCGGCTCCCCGCGACGCCTACCACCTCCCGTCCAAGGATATGGTAGTCGCCTTCTCGCCGTATGACAACGGCGAGGCTCCGCCGCCCCTTCCGCAGCTCTCCAAGGTGGTGGCGGCGGGGCGGCAGCAAGAGGTCGCCAAGGGGCGCGAATCGCCACTGGGAGACCTCATCAGTGCCCTCCTCGCGCTGGCCATCGCATACGCGGGCCCGCTGCCGGCGAACGCCACACTCGCCGACTGCGACGAGGCGACCCTCGACGTGATGGACACGATCACGGGCGAGACGGAAAAGCGCGCCCCGGCGCTGAACTCGTCGATTGCGGACCTTGCGGTAGACCGCGTCGTCGCTGCGCTCGGGCCTCTGGCCCCGAGCCAGCAGGAGGAGTATGCGAGGTCCATCTGGAATGAGCTGATCGCGCAGCATTCGGCGCGGCGCGGAAGCCTGACGGCGGCGCTAGTCGCCACGATGGCTTCCGCCGAGCTCATCGCGGCTCGCAAGGACAAGCGAAAGGCGCCTGCGCCGCCGAAGAAGGACGTGGCGCAAGCCGCGAAGGAGCCCACCGCGAGCAAGGGGGGGAAGAAGCCCCGCCAGCCATCGTGGGAGGGTTTGCCCATCTGCCCCACCTGGAAGAAGGACGGCGCGTGCCACGCGTACCGGCAGCGCAGGTGCAACGAGTACCGCCACCCGCCCGAGATGAAGAAGAAGACGGCGGAGCGCTCGGAGGCGCCCGCGGCTAACGAAGAGTAGGGGCACGCATGGCGCCGCCCAGCGCGTTGGCACGCCGGGAGACGCGTGTGACCTCGGCAGAATGATCATAGGTCGGTGGTGGTGGTGAACAAGCACCATCGCCGCCAGCGCTCCCCGAGCGACGTCGACATCCAGCGGGGCTCGCCGTTCGGTAACCCGCTGGTGATGAGAGGAGAGAGAGAGAGGGACGCGGTCGTAGACGGCTACCGAGAGATACTAGAGGAGAGGGCGACGGCCAGTGAGGCTGCAGGGCGCCGCTGCCCGCCGTTGGCGGTCGACGAGGGCGCGAGAGAGGTCACCCGAGAGCGGAGAGAGGATGCGTTCGCAGGAGTGCTCAAGCGCATGTTGGCTGGGGAGCAAATCCGGCTGGTGTGCGCATGCGCGCCGAAGCGGTGCCATGGCGACATCATCGCGGCACGTCTCCGCCGCATGATGAGAGAGATTGTGGACTAGATTCGACGAGAGCAGTCTTGTGTAGTACGAGTCGACCCCACGTTGGAGAGGGTGGGTGGGAGAAAAGAAATCTGTGCTGCCGCCGCTCTGGCGGTCAGCAAAAGAGGAGCACGCTGCCATGCAGAGCGCTCGCTAAACGAGGCGGTGAAAGACAGGCGCGTCCTAGACGCCATAGCGTCCATGATAAATAAAACCACACGCAGCGAGCTGCGAGGTCCGGGGAGAAGATGGAAGTGTCATGGAGGTGAGTCCTCGTGTGAGTGGCTTCGAGAAACTAGTGGCCTTTCACGAGTTGGGGCCCCCACCCCAATCGTTATCGGCGGACTAGTTTATCTCGCTTCACACATCCTAGTATCCGAGTGAGGATACATTGGAATGGTAAAAGGGTCCGTCATGCGTACGAGACTCGTGACTCCACACATGGAGAGTACTCACGGTACGAGAGCACGCTAACATCCCAAAGCAGAGAGTGGAGGAGCGAGAGCAGAGGGGACTCGACACCCAATGAAGACGAAAGAGAGGGACGGATGTGCGCGACAGCCCATCAGGGACGCGGGACGAGACCCGACGAGAGAGAGGGACGAGGCCCGCGCGCTACGGCGCCGCCGGAAGATCGACGAGAATGTCGTAGTCGGAGCGGTCGCCAGGAAGATCGGTCCACGGCCGCCCGAAACGCGCCAGACCACGGCGAACGGCTAGAATCCACCGACGCCGCACACGAAGCTGCGCCCGGCGGCGGCCCTCGCGGTTGGCGCCCGCCGTGTACCGAACACGCATGCTCTGGTCGTCAGCAGCGACGGCCGGAGGGGCCGCGACGCTCGGCGCAGCGCCCGCATGGCCGCGCCGCCGCGGAGCGAGATGCGCGATAGCGCCCTCGAGCGTCAGCTCGCCGTCGCCGCTATTGGCGTGGGCGCGGCGACGCCAATGGCAGATCTCATTCTCGTCCTGAGGCGTGAAGGCGATGTCGGGCGGCGCGTGGTGAGAGACGACGGCCCCCATGTCGGCTGGAGAGCCGTGAGACGAGTGGGGCGTGCAGCCGAGCTCCGACCACCGCTCTTGGCCCATGCGCAGCGGCGGCTCGGACGAGAGCACGTAGAGCGAGCGGACTGCGTGCGCCTTGGGGGCGACGCGGCCGTCCACGAGGAAGTCGGAGGCGTAGCGGACGTCTCCCGCGTAGCCGCGCGGCGCCGCGAAGGCGGGCAGCAAGTATGGCCGGCCCAGGAGGGCGGCTCGGTGCTCGGGCCACCATGCCCACGCGCCAAGGAAGCCTTCCGCCGGAAGGTACACGTCGATCGGCGCGCCGTCCTTGGAGAAGGAAGTAACGAGCATGACGCACTGCAGGTCCTCGAGGGGACCGATGCACGCCCGGAGGATGTCCACCATTCGAAGACTCGAGAACAGCCCCAGTACGATCGACCGGGCGAAGAAGCGAGCGGGCGTGTCGACAGGAGACGCGGCCAACTCCTCGAAGTGGCAGTAGACCTTGATAGGAAGAGAGCCCGAGCGGCGCTCGCGCCGCAACTTCCTCCCCGGCGGCGCTGCGGCCTCCGCCACCACGGACCCGATGGAAATGGGAAGCCCAAGGTGGCGAGCTAGGAACAAAAGCCCGGAGCGCACCCCGTCACGTACTGTCGCCCCGCCCTGCGATCCCCTGTTCGCCGAGCGCGCCTTCGCGTCGACCCAAATCAGAAAGCGGTTAAGGAGGACAGGCGAAGCGGGGAGTCCTCCATCCGGGAGGCCGCGCTCGAGGGCGAACTCCCTCAGCCGCTCGAGCGAGCGCCTGGCGTTGCCGAGGACAGCGCCGTCCGCCCCACCCTTGAGCTTGACGGTGGCGACGAGGGCCTCCATCCTCTCGGAGTCGTCGGGGACTTGGGCGAGGCCTTGCTCGCCCCCGAGGAGGTCGAAAACAGAGGACGGAGGCAGCTGGGCGGCCAGCCATCTCGCGGCTCGATCCAGCTGGTACGCCTGGACGTCGGCGTGCGAGGACATCGCCTCGCGCTCCTCGGCTGACGCTCGCCGCCTCTTCCCGCGTTGGGAGTCGCCCGACGGGCCGACGGCAGAAGATGTTCGTTGACGGCACGAAATGGAGGGCTGCGCGGAGGGCGCAGGCCCCAGGCCAGCGGCCCCGAAAGGACGGCCGCGCGCCGTCAGCTCCGCTGGGGGAAGAGCGGAGGCAGCCACGCTAGCCCTCGATGGCGCAGGGACGGGGCCCGAGGGCGCGAGCCTCGCGCCCACCCCCGGAACAAGGGCGGGCGTAGGTGTGCGGCATCCGATGCCCGGCGGCCTCAACGCGGCGCGCATCGGAAGTGCGCCGGCCGGGACCAGGCGCTCTCGGGATGGCCTGGCGAGAGGCGGTGCCCGTCCCGTCAAAGGGGCCGACCTGCGCGTAGCCACGCTTGGAGCTGTAGCCAAGCCGAACTGCGGCGGCAAGCGTGGCCGACCGGAGGCGCCACCAGGAGGCGCCGCTGGCTGAAGCCTGACCGCCCGAGGCGGCTCGTGGCCGATCGGCCACACGGTCATGGAGAAAAGAAATCTGTGCTGCCGCCGCTCTGGCGGTCAGCAAAAGAGGAGCACGCTGCCATGCAGAGCGCTCGCTAAACGAGGCGGTGAAAGACAGGCGCGTCCTAGACGCCATAGCGTCCATGATAAATAAAACCACACGCAGCGAGCTGCGAGGTCCGGGGAGAAGATGGAAGTGTCATGGAGGTGAGTCCTCGTGTGAGTGGCTTCGAGAAACTAGTGGCCTTTCACGAGTTGGGGCCCCCACCCCAATCGTTATCGGCGGAGTAGTTGTTGAAGGTTTGGTTGAAGACCTGGAGCTCAGGGCCTCCACGCGGCCGACAAGACTGGGCCACCGGATAACCCTTCGGTCCCGATGCTCCGCCGTCCGGTCGTGCGCGCCGCCCTCGCGGTTCTTGGCGGCTCCTCCACGGCGGCCGTCCGCAGCAGCCTTCACGCCGCCGCTCCCTCCGACGAGTCGCTCAGCGCTCTGTGGGGAGCGGCGATCGACGGGATGATAGCCGTGCCGGGTGCCGAGCGAATCGCCGCTCCAAACGGGGTGCTCTACCTCGCGCCTCTGCCGCCCGGCGCGGCGCCGCCCGAAGGTGTCGAGTAAAGGTTCTGGCCAAGAGCGCAGTTTTCGCGCTCACCGCGCACAATCCGATGGGCGAGGCGGCGCCCGCGGCTGTAAACCGCGAGGCGAACCGCAAGCTGCAGGCCGACATTGCCAGCCTGCGGCCAGTCCCGCGCGCGTGGTGGCACAGCTTTGGCT